TTTTTTATTTTTGTTTATTTCATTTTTCTGTCAATTTCTTTTTTTCACATTTTAAATTTTTAGTGCCTTTTCATTTCTTTTCTTTTTACATTCCAAAAATTCATTAACATTGTTTATAATTGATAACTTAATTTGTCGTCATTAAATAATTGATAGAATTATTTAATAAATTTTACAGTAAATACGGATAATTGTTTTGTTGAAATGCCAAATCACGTACTCTACGGTACAGCATTCGCTGCGGAAACTAATGTATCTGTAGAAGAATGCAAGTGTTATTGTATGAATGCGGAAAAGCAATACGGTATGGAATGTCGCAGTATTGAGTACTATTTTGATTCCAGAACATGCTTACTTAATAATTTGAGCAGGTAATATGAATAAATTTTTCGGCTTGCAAAAAAAAGTTTGATATTTTAAATTGTATTTGTGCCATTTATTGGCTAATGTAAGAAATTGATAAAAACTGGATTGAATTTGTGACTGCATGATAAAAAATAAAAAATATTAGCATATTTCTCAAAAAATTAGAGTAAATTAGTGTTTTTTGAATTTCAAAATAAAATAAAAGATCAAATAACCAATATTTGATTAATCAGTGATTTGCTTCAGTTCTAAGTCATTCTTCATTTGCACTCAATGAATGAAACTTCAGGACGACAAATCCAAAAAATTTCAATCATTCCATTGCTTCCAGGCTAATGCATAGCTATTTCGATAAAAATTGTTCCACCCAAAGTACTTTTCTTTTATTACTTTTCTGCAACAAGTAACCTTTTATGGAAAAAGAAGATGAAGAAATTAAATCAAATTTTGTTCAAAAAATAAGACTTTAAAAAGAAGAAAATTGAACGAAAATAGTTCATTTTTTTCTTTTTCAGATGATGAGTTCTTGACTTACACCAAAGAAAAATGTTTATTTGTAACAAATTTGGCAATAGTGAATACAAATTCTTCGTTAAATTTTACAAATAAAATTGACAGTGATAGGAATGCTATCTCACAGTCTGATAAGGTCAGTTTTATTATAAAGAAAGTTATAGTTTTTTTCTCAATTCTACAAAATATGATTTAAAAATTTTTTAAATTCATTTTATTTTAAAGAACAAAACAAAAGATTTCGTAAATGTAGAAATTTCTAAAGAAGCAAAAAAATGAAAGTTAGAAAAAGATGTGGACATAAAACTATGAAGAAAATTAAACGGAATGAAGAAAAATATTTTTTGAATGATTCATAAAAAAACGGATAAATTTTTTATTTTTTCTTTTTTAAAAATAAATTTTTAGGTAACAAGCGCTTATAATAATAATAATAGGGATTTAACCGATGGTCTTGTGATCTCGAAAATAAATCTTATTCATTTCACTGAATATGCTACTCCTTCGAACTATGACGACCTTTCGCAAGGTTGATTTTTGTTTTTTTTTTCAATTTGTCATTTTGCTTTAATTCAGTTTCTAATGATAGACTGGAATTATACAAAAAATATGCTGTGATTACGCGAACCACAGATTTTTTTTCAAAAATTTCCATGTTATTTTTTGGATTATAAAACAATTTCAATTTTCGATTACCAACTACATAAAAATTAAAATATATTTCCAATTTTTTTATTAATAAAGGCAAAAGTGTACGAATAAAAGTTTTTGTGAAATTTCTGGCATTATAAATTAAAATTAAATCACAATTTGGTTCACCAGTAGTAAATCTTCCAAGATTGAAAAAATTAAATTTAAATTCTTGAAATTAATTCGTAGCATTAGAGGATTCAAAAAACATAAATAAATTTCTTAACATTTATTAATTTTGTAATGACATGTTTCTGAAAAAAAAAGTTAATCCGATTTTCTAAGATTTAAAATGTTTAGGGGTTAGCAAAGAAGAAGACAAGGACAAAAAATCAGAAAAAGTCAGCGAGTTGCAACATTCTGATCTAACGACACCACATGCAACAACCATAATTCCAGCAAATGAAAATTTCACTGATTTTACAACTATTTCTGATTCATCTTCTGAACCAAACAATACAACTGCTATTCTTGGTTTGTTTTACTTTTCTGAACAAAATTTTGATCAAATAATTTTATTCGACTAATTAATGAATCGTTAAGTAAGGCTTACTAGCACAAAAAGTTATATTGCTATTAAATAAATATTTCATTGCAAAATAACTTTTTTTGATTTTCGTTGAAATTTGTCAGTCCAATCAAGTTCGGTTGTTTGCTGTGTCAAATTTTTTGATTTACTCTTTTTCTAATTGAGATTTCGTCTTCTTTTTCCTAATTATTTGGGATAAATAATTTAAGAAATTAAGAAGAGCAATTAAAAAATTTTTCAAATCGTATGGTATCATTTTTTGATATATTTTGAGACTGTCCAAATAATAAAAATTATATCGTAAATGAATTTTGGATCGATGTATAAGTTAAAGTATGTAAATATTATGATTGATTAAGTTACGACAACGCCAGTGGAAATGGATTATGCTATTTCTAATCAAACATTTAAAAAAACAACACCATCTACGGAAATTGCAACATATCCAAATCTTGGAAAATGTGATTACTCAGCCATCTATCAAACATCTTTCCGTGGTACCAAATTAATCAAGCGGATTTTGGTTTCCAGGTGAGTTTTAAATCGCAGTTATCTATTTTCTTTTTTTATACTTATATCAGGAGATTATTTTTTTAAAAAAAGAAAGGAAAAACTATAGAGATATTTTCTAACGAAACATAAAAACTTTTAATTATTTTTGAACTAATTACTAGTTGTTGTTGTAAACCCTGTGATAAAGGATAGCATTATCGATTCATTTGAATAGTAAGCAAAGATCAGAAATTTTCTGTAATATATTTTGTTTCAATGTTGGTAACATTTCAAATGTGATAAATATACAGTAATAAACTTTTGATTTATCAAATTGGTCTTTTTTCTTTATTAAGTGGTATTTATAGGAATCAGTAAATAGTTCATTTCAGTCCTCAGCAGTGTTTCTATGGATGTCATTTTGAAGGATGTCGATCATCAAATCTTATTCCGGTTGATAATCAAACAAATTCTTGTGAACTATTCAGGTACTTTTACTTTTTATGTGTTTCATTCCTACTATTCCTCTCTTTTTAATCATTATTCATAAAATGTCAGGAAACAATTCCGAAGGTATTAAAAATGGATTTTGGCAACTTTATAATTATAAACATAGTTTTTAGTCAGAATATCACGTATATAAGTTCTTCAATGATATATTAATTAATATAATAATAAGGTAAGGCTATTTGATAATTGCCGTAATTATTTTTATATTATTACAGCGATGCTTTAATCGATTATCGTACATCAGATGTATTGGTATACGATGGCGGTAGCGTATATTTCGATGGTATTAAATGCACTGCAAAACGCCGTAAAGTAAATGATAGTAGTAGTGAAAATGATAATAGCATTGATAATGAAGAAACAATCGATAGTGAACAGTTTGTATAGACTGGTTTAAACATTGTTGATATTTTTTTTTACTCAGGAAGACAAGATATTTTCTCTCTTTTTTTCTTTTTTTTTAAGATTACGGCTATACTGTTCTTTTATTTTAACTTTATTAGCTATCATTTGAATTTTTCAAACCACTTTTTGGTATATAAAATTTTTTTATCGTGATATCAGAAGATTTAATATGTTTTAAGAAACGATTACGGCTATGCTATTTTTTTGATTTAGCTACCAATTTCAGTGAAGTTGCAAAAATAGTGTAATTATTGCTGACGGAAATACAAAGCAATATCATGGAATAATAATTTCCAGTCACTTATTTTTTATTAGTCTCAAATTTTTGAGCTCAAAAAAATGATCAATCTATAATTCGCATTCTTATCGTTTCAATTAGAATGAGTAATTTTTATTTAATTAACATGTTGCTCTAACATTTATTGTGAAATATAAGAGTTGTAATTATTAATTATACTTCTGCATATTGTTGGCATCAATGAAAATGCTGATAATTGTTGCCATGAATCAAATTTGCCGAATTGTTTCATGCAATACTTAACATTTACAGGCATCTTACTTATACACTTTTATAAATGAATTAGCTGAAAAAGGTTTAACTCGTAGCAATTACTATAATAATTCTGACAAATAAATACGCTTCCCATGTTTATTTGTCAGACAAATTATAGTAATTGCAAAGAAAGTTGAGAGAAATATTGTACCCATATCGCAATGTAATTATAGCTTTATTTCAATCATTTCAATTAATTCAACGTTAAATTGTAACTTAGCCTAATTTAAAGTTTAATCTAATATGAGTGGAAAAAAAATTAAATTTGAAAAAAGTCCATTCATTTTAATGTATATATCAAATGGCAAATCAAGTAGACCAGAGGTGAAACAAAAATAATTGTGTCAATTTTATTGCAAGAAAATTTGAATTTTTAATCTTTAGTTTCGTTGATAATCTGAACGCTGATTTTTTTTTTAAAGCAAAAGAAATTGATAAGCAAAACTTTGTAAAAGTGATAGTTCACTAGTCGTTAGGTAAGAGGTCATGAGGGTCAAATTACGGAAATAATTTAACTGTTCATATTATTTTAACGATCAAATATTCGTCATTCATACGGAAGAATACTTCATTCTAAATCGTTCTTCAGTAATTTTCACAACTCAATTTCTTGAAAGCTTCCCAAGTCAAAAACTTGCTTGCTTTATCAATTTTTAAAAAACGATTGTTGGCTTCTCAAGAAAAAAAAGTTTAATTCTTTACGAAAAAAATTTTTAAAGGGTGAATAATTTGTTATCAAAAATAAAAATAAAGAAATATAATGGCGTGAGAATTCATTTGCACTTTATTGCATATATATTACTGGAATTTTAACTGCATAAATATTATTAGAA